ACTCTATGAAATTGCAGGTGTCTTTTTTTCGCTGGCAAGATTATTTTCCAAGTTAAGAGACAACCAGATTTCCCCCCTCCTCCTTCCCACCAATCTTCCATACCAACACATATATACACAGTCACATACTTCATATTTGAGGCCAATTTCATGGAAAGCAGAATCTTAACATTTCCAGCAATGCCCACATGATCTGGTAACCTTGGCAATGAGTAAAAAACGCTACTTACTTCTCTGAAGTAAGCTGCAGTTTGAACTAGTTGTAAGCATGAGGCCAAAATAAAGTATTTCCTCATTTTCCCTGCTATGGTTTGCTGCAAGGATCGAAGTGCTCAAGAATCAAAGATGGGGAAATGGCTGTAGATCATTGCTGGATTCTTGCTGAAAGCAGGACAGGTGAAATCTTCAGGGATCACTTCTTCCACTTCACACTTTCTGAAAACAGTATTCTCAGTAATAGGCTAATCACACCAGTGATCAAATTACTTGAGTCCAGTATTTGATTTTATAGAGAGCAACTGCAGTATCAGAAACAGCTTTGACCCCGGGTGAAAAGCTCTCATGCACCTGCCAGTTTTCCTCAGGATCATCAATACTCAATGCCAACATTTACCTTTACTTGGTTACCATTTACAGTTGACACCAATGTAAATGAGAGAGTAGGGGGGAACCTGAGCACACACACACAAATTTTTTTTTTTTATTTTTTAGATGTAATGCAAATAACCATATCTAATACTCTTTTAGAAAACAAAAGAAATGGAAAACATGCTCAAAAAACAAGAAAACAAGTTATACTTTTCATAAGGCACCACCAAAAACCTTGGTAAATCAGAGTCCATATTATATTTAAGTGTCTCACTAACAAGTAAATAAATATGTAAGAGAATAATCAATAGAGGGTCTTGAGGTTTACAAAAGACATTCCTGTTTAGACATCTTGGAGTATTGCAAAAGTAAGAATAAGCTGGATACATCTACACCCGTCACATCCTTTCCCAGTGCACATCAGCCATTGCATAGTGGTGAGTGGATTATGATCCAAGCCAAGAGAAGACTGCAATTCCAAAATAGATTTACATCCAATTGTTTCCTTCTCATGCTGTAAATATCATTTGGCACATCCATATCCAAAGAAGTAATGATATGCTTTAATTTAAAAAGGGGGTGGGGGGCAGGAGTTTCAAAAGGTGAAAGACAAATCAATTGCCTGCTTTTTAAAATTTATACTTAACAGACCTACTGCAAAAGCAACTTTCTACACACATATGAAGCTAGTTCCGTATGTAAACCTTTATTGAACCTGGTTATATGTGGGACTTTAACAGCTTAATTTTTCACAATTTACAATTTTTAAATCCCACTCCAAATTGTCACTTTCTCCTTTAAAAAGGATATAGTCTCATCCTTTGAAAGAAAGGCTTTCTCAGTTTTTCCTTTCATCCTACTTTAAGTTCTGGCTCATATTCATACAAATGTATTACAGAATTAAAATACTGACAAGCAGGGAGTTTCTTTTACGTGCACTCAACTGCATCCAGAATGTTAAAATTAAGAAAAACAAATAAACAGACATTTCTTGGACACCAAAGACAAAAGCAGAGAAGAACAGAAGTGAAGCACAGGTAAAAAACTGTTCTGATCTTACAGGTCTGCTAGCTTTGCTAGGATTTTGATTATTAAAGTACATAGTAGACAATCACAGATTTAATGCTTATCTTTTCAATTATTCAAAGTATGACATACAGTAATTTGTAATTTTATTGAGGCACAAATTCGAATCATGCAGTGCAAAGGTGGTCTGCAGCAACTTAGGAAGGGAGTGTAACATCTAACTCTGAACATGGCTTTGTTGCAATAACTATCAGGAACTAAAATAGACATTTGTGGGAAAAAAATGTCCCCTCTTCTGCCAATAAGAAAGCTAACTACTACTAATGCTATAGTTGCATTTGTAAACTTGGGAATTTGCATAGTTCCACTGACCTACCCCTTTGAGAATATTAAAGACTTACGTAGCATTTTTTAAATTTTTCTTTCTATAACCTTCCCCAACATAGTTATAATGAAGATAGTAAGAAATATCTTTGAAAGAACTATCACAGAATTAGTTAAAACACCAATGGTGAAAATTTGCAACTCTGAAAAGTAAAGGAACATTTTAAATCAAATTTTAATATAAAATGTTACAACAATGAAGAATGGAGTAAGTTGTAAATAGGTAATTTCCTCTAACTGAAAACAATATTTTATATTAGAACACCAGCATGTCTTTAAATAGATGAATCTTAGTTCATTAATTCCAAAATTATAGACTTGTATATGTTCGTTTTTCTCTCTCTCTTTTTTAAACTAATGTCTCTCATCTGTTCTTCTCAGCCTTTGGTCAAGAGTCAGACCAAATCCTCTGTGACTTTCAAATAAATACAGAAAATCCCACCAAATCTACTGAATGATATATTTAAGTTTCAAAACAGAAGATAAACAGGGAGCTACTCATAGTTGAAGACTGTCTTGCATTTTTCTCTCAGATCTCCAGCTGGTAAATACTGTATTAAGGACATAAATTATTTCCTCAACAGCCACCTGCATCCACCCACCATACTCCAAGAAGCAGAGCACCAACTTAACTATCTTTCTCAGCATCCTCATGCCCTTCCACTGATGGCTGAGTAAAGTTAATGGGTGACTAGGAAGAAAAGATAAACTATTTTTAAATGTTTTCCACCAAGGCAGCCATCACTTAAAACTGCATTCAATTTTTAACCCAAAAGTATTTGAAGATCTTTGCAGAGAAGACGAAAGGCAAAAAATATTGTGCTTTCTTTTATAACATCAACCAGATAAAATTCTTAGGTAATAATATCTTTATAGACTGGCAAAATTAAAATTTATGAAATTGGTTAAAAGTTACCTTGTAATATCCCTTGAAATCTTAAATCATATACACACTTGAGATCATGCAGAGTGACGCTTATGACCCTTGTAACAGGTCAAAACACTAAAAATGTTATGCAATATTAAGGGAAGACTAAAAATTAGGTAGTTTGAACCACAGAGAAAGCATTTACAGAAACTGGGTTTTACAGGAAAAGTTTTTGTTTTTTTGTTTTGTTTTGTTTTTTTAGCAAGATGCCTTTTGAGTTAAATCTCATACCCACTCAAACTGTAACTGGACAGTACATTTCACTTCTAGTTACTAGAAGACATTTCTTTAAAAGAGACTGGGGCAAAAAGGGAAAAGGAGATTATAAGCTGTTCTCTAGGCCCACCCTGCTCCCCCCTTTTAAAAAGAAAACTGATAAATTAAGCCAAACCACAGATTTTTAAACAAAATAAAGGGACACGGCATAGTGAAGACAAAACACTATTTTTAGTTTTTTGGGGTTCTTTGTCCTTTAAAAAAAATTAGTCCCCTTCTAATAAAAGTTTCCATACAGCTTACCTAACACCTTAACAATAGAGAACACAACAGGAGGGAAGAGGGCACAGCACCATAGTTTCAAACATTTACATACAAAAACAAAACAAACCAGCCATCACAGAAATAGTAAGACCAAGTTTCCCAATAGACAGAGACAAGTTCCAACAACACAAAGGAAATACAATGATCTATGAACAAAAACAAGATGGAAGATGTGGTCAGGCTAGGATGGAGAAGGAAGTGCTAACAACTCCTTGTACTACAAGGAAGGAATGGGGTTTCTTTATTAAAAAGCAAAAAGAGAAAGCAAGCCCCCAAATGGATTTTTGATGCTGAAAACTCTGTCATATGCTGCTGGTAACAGTAAATATATATATTTATATATCCATATATGTATATTAAAAAAGGAAAAATAATCTATTTATAGAACAGTCAGTAGTCAGAGACATTTAGAAAAAAGTAAAAACAAGTCCTTTTTTCTTTTTTTAAAAATGGATTTACTAAAACAACTTTATCACCCGGAGGTGCTACAACCCCATATCCTCTGATGAAGCCAGGGTGTTATTCAACAGCATCTGCTGTGGGCCAGTATCAGAAATTGCCAGTGTTGGAAACAGCAGACATCGGGGTCAGGGCTGCAAGGCAAAAAGCTGTTATTTGCTGGTCTTGCTCATGGCCATGCCTGAAGCCTGGTGGTCTGGTATACTTGTAAATGAAGGTTTCCCCGAAAAGCATGCATCACTGGGTCTCAGTAAAACATTCTGACTTGTCTTCTTTTCTTTTGCAGGAGCCTGGATCCATGTACCTGCTCGTCTCTAAAATGCAGACCCAAGACAGCAAGACTTCTCAAAGCCAAAAAAAAAAAGGCTCCTTGCCTTGAAATAAGAAAAGCTCTTCTTCCCAGAATCCAATCTAGTCAGACTTCTGAACTAGATGACATACTCCTCCTTAGGAAGATAAGGTGATCTGCCTCTCATTTGGGGTTTTCTTCTTGGTACAAACACACACAAGTAGCTGGGGTCTAGACTGTGCTACTATCCCATGACTACTAACAGGAGTAACTTTGGCCCTGTTGCTCCCATGGCTATATCCGTAGGGCATTACATGCCAGGTAACAGTGGAAGGAGAGTGGTACTCTCACTCCTGTCCAACTGTCCTAAGGAGAGCCAAGTAGTCAGCACCTCCAGACAGTACTGCCTCTAGGTTGTAAACCTCTAACTAGTATCAACTGGCCATAAGCCACATCCTACATGCCCTGCTAACATACCAATGTATTAATGCCAACCAGCCACTCTAGAGCTCAATCAAATGTCTGGCTGTAAAGTAACATACCGTACTCAGAGGAGACATAAACTGAAATACTGGCTGCTGTACCAAAGACACCCTCTGCATAGATGTGTTGAAGAGAATGTAGGTCACACAGTCCATGCAAAGAGGAAGTCCGCTAAGAGGACTTTCTCTGAAGGCCATTTGTCTTTGGAAGCAACATTCTGAGTGGATCTAAACCACTCTACTTGATGACTAAGGTCTCAATGTGGTCCATTTCCCCCCATGTCCCAAACTAACCCAGCAACTGCTAACTGGTCTCCTTAAGATCCTCCATTGGTAGTTTGTAGCTCATTATGAAGGAAGGAGGTGGTGCTTGACCTGGGCTATCTGGCCCTTGCTTCTTTGCACAGTTTATACAGATGTAATCTTCATTTTCAGCCATTTCTGGAGATACACCCACACAAACTTGATGAAACCACTCATCACAGCCACCATCACATTGTACCCAGTCTACCTGTAGGAGACAAGATTGAGGAATGTTTAGGTTACATAAACATTAAGCCTAGAAAAAAAAAAGCAAACCAAAGAGCTTTCTTGGCTTAAATGATAGCAAATAACTGGGATGTCCAGAGACAGACAATGACTTTTTATGGGGTTACTTTTTAAAGAAAGAAGCTGGGAAGTTAATATCCCCAAATTATATTTTACCACAGTATGTCCTCAAAATTAGGCCTCTTAGGTACTCCATTACCTCATAAATACCCAGGGATCCTTTTGAGGCAGAAACATGTTTGAGAAAAACTTGACAAAAAAGGAACTTCTAATAGAGCAGCCAAGTAGTTTTAGCTAATATTAACAATTTCTAGACGCTAAGACAATGCAATTATCAATCAAGAAAGGAAGAGTACAACAATGTGAAGGCAATCCTGTGTATTAGCTTTATTTCAAAGAGATAAGCCAAAGTACTAAGAGCATTAAATACCTTTTTAGAAAAGCAGTCACATAGGCCACTTTTAAAACTAATATTTTTTATTCTTCTCTTCTTCCGTTACAAATACAACTCCCTATAAAAAGTTAGCAAATATCAGAGGTCAAATCTTACAAATTAACCAATTAAAACAGTCAAAGTCACAGGTCAATAGATCACTCCGGGGTTTAAAATTCAAGTCTGTATAACTGATAAGTCAGTGGCAGATGCCAAGCAAACTTTGACCCTTCAGAGGATATTGTAATCACAGAAGGCTAGAAAGAGACTGTAGTTTGGTGACTTTATTAAGCCTTGGGCCTGGAGTTAACAATAAGATGATTTGGGTTTTTGTATCTGGAGGGTGAATGTGGTAGTTTTTGTAACTGATGTCATGGCAGATGAGAACCTTTAAGATTAAAAGAGCTACTCTTCCTCTCCCCAGTACAAAGTGGATCATCTCACTGGCAACTTACAAAGCCACTTACAATGAGCTTTGCCAGTTTTCAGAGCAAAGTAAGGAGTATGAAGGGATCAAAGAGGTACCTCAGTGAAGTTTATGAGAAAAGAACAGAGGAGGAAGGTTTGGGCTAGGTAAATGAGTTTCAGGGAAAGGGAGTAGTTTCTAAATTAGTTTCCGAGTACTCAAAGAGTTATCAAAATGATGATGCTCATGTTAGTGGTTTTAGGGTTGTAATAAAGCATGGGAAAAATCACTTGTCAAAAGAATCTTTCTGCTTCCATTGTTCCTATTCTAGAGTTCTAGTTATTAGGAGACAGTGCTGTGTACAGTAAAGATTACTGAATTCAGTCACAAGTTCTGAATTCTGATGTGTACAATTTGAGGCAAAGAATTTAATCTCAGTAAGGCTCAATTTCCTCATCTGTAAAATGGAGATAATATTCTGTTTACAGGATTATTTAGAGGATTAAATGAAATAATGCATGGCAAAACAGCTAGCTCACCGTGTGGCATCTTTCAAGATCACAATTTCATGCCTCTACTCATTATACTATCTTACACAAGATCCATTTTGCACTTTGAAATAACTGCCTGTAGCACTGCTTCTCAAAAATGTGTAGACCACTTACATAGAATTGCCTGTTGTGTTCATTAAAAGTACGGCTGTGGGGCGCCTGGGTGGCGCAGTCGGTTAAGCGTCCGACTTCAGCCAGGTCACGATCTCGCGGTCCGTGAGTTCGAGCCCCACGTCGGGCTCTGGGCTGATGGCTCAGAGCCTGGAGCCTGTTTCCGATTCTGTGTCTCCCTCTCTCTCTGCCCCTCCCCCGTTCATGCTCTGTCTCTCTCTGTCCCCAAAATAAATAAACGTTGAAAAAAAAAAAAAAAAAAAAAGTACGGCTGAGACCCATCCCAAACCCAAACCTACAGACTCAGAATATCTTGGGGGTACAAACCAGAGCTTAGATTTTCAGTCAGATTCTAGGTAACTTTTATATTTTCTAAATTTGATCATTCCTAGTACTTTGTGATACTGCTTGCTGGTAAATTCAGAGCAATTTAACAATTCCTTCCTAAAACAAATTCTGTTTTTGTTCTGTAATTATTTATGTAATATTTAGTTTCTGAAGTCAGTGCAGTAAAGAAAATTGAACTGCTCCTATTGCAGCAAACTACTATATGAAAGACAAAAGAGGGAGATAAATGACTTCTTTGCAACAAACTAAACATATAGGTACTATAGCAATGAAGATTTACAAAGTGCTAATGTGATGGTAAGTAACTTGGGGTTAAGTGTTTTGGCTATTTGGCACTGGTAACGAGAACTGGGAAGATGATCTGTGTTTCTTTGGGCTGCCCAAATTGGAGATATTACCCTGTTTATGACGCCACCCTGAACCAGTAGATAACTCTAGTCCTACTTTCAACCTTCTTAATCTAGTCCAGTCCCCATTCATGCTAACCCACAGGATAAGAAAGTTCCCAATTTATCAGTATATCCTGCCAAGAAAAAGTGGCCCTATCTTTTTAAAAATCTAATTCTGCACTGCATTCCAGGTTTCCCCAAATTAAATCTATCAGTCTCAAGTAAGGATGAGAACACATTCTCTTTTGTGATTTTGGCTAGAGGTCCACTCCTAGAGCCTAGCTCTCCCACCATTCCAAAACAGTATAAAACTTTTTTTGAGACATTTATCAGTACACAGATTGTATCTCAGCCTACAGGTTATATATCAATTTACCCTAATAATCTAGCAGGGAAAAAACAATCCTTCCCTTACTAGTATCTTTTTGTCATGTTCATGTACTAATAACAATCCAATTCCAGTGCTACTTCTGTTTGAAAAGGCCCATAGGGTCATAAAGCAAACCAAAGTTTGGAATTTCAACTGAATTAACTGAAGATTTGACACAGGGGCAACAGATTGTGTACTAGGCTGAAAACTCAAGAACACAGAACTTGGTTATCTGCACATTAGGCTCTAATAGTCACTTCCCCTTTCATTGGTTTTAAGAGATTTATTTATCAAATCACAAAAATAATTAAAAAACTTCACAGCTGTGAGGTGTTCAAATATTAACTGATAAAAGATTTGAAAGTATAGTACAAATACATTACCAGTTGGATTGGGGGAAATTTTTAAAGAGAAATACATTAAATACAGGAAATAATGTTAATTTAGTATTTCCTGTGTTGCTATACGGTTTCATATTTACACTTAAAAATATTTACCATATTTCATTTTGTTCACTTCACAGGGCATTATTACTGCACTGGGAAAAAAGAAAGCCTGGTGATTTAGTGATAGTCTTCGCTTAGTTACCCGACCAAGCTTTTGTTATTTTGGCATTCAATCTCTACTGCACCAAGGTTCCCTGCAAAAACCAGATTCGAAAATTAAAACAATTCACTTAATGAAGTACAAGAGAACAATGTTCAGAATCCTTGTGTATATTTTTTGATGCTCTTAACATTAAGTGGCCAGCTCTCTTAGCCCAAGATTGATGTGTTTCCCAAGATAGGAATTTCAACGCTAAAACTGGAAAGTCCAGGCAAACTGGGACGGTTCGTTACCCAATCTCCACATCACCACTTGTTGAGGGTAATCCAACCTTTGATTATCTGTGCTTTTAAAAAGAGATATGAACTAATAATGGAAATGCAAATACTTTGGCTGAGATAGCACCCTATGAAAATCTTTTAATACATCAGAGTGGCTGACAAAGAGTAAAAGTGAGACATAGGTTTATCAACTTCATCTCTATTTAACCATCCAAAACTTATGGAAATAGTAATGGGTAAGGAAAAGGCCCACAGGAAAAAGGTAAAAAAAGGTAAGGGAAAAAAGTCTATTTTCATAAGATGATTAAATATTTATTCTAATACAGAAGAAAAAGGTTACTTAAATGTTAGCTTAAAGAATGTGCTCCTTTTCAAGTTAACTTCTTTTACTTTTGGTATCAGGAAGACTGAATGAAAGTGGCAGACTTCAGAGAGAAGAAGATTCCGAACCTTAAAACTAATTTTTTGAAAATAGTTATTTTTTTTCATTATTTTTAAAATTAATTACACCTTGAAATTAATTTGATAATGGTGGAAAAGAGACTTTTTTTTTAAACCCTTTCCCATTATTCTGGTAATATTTTTCTTTTCTCTTTCTAAAACATCTTGAAATTGAGGCTAGGTATGTTTAGGTAGCCCTTCAAAGTTTTCTCAATCTGCACATTGTGGGGGAAAAGTAATAGTAATTATTGGTTAGAAATATGGTAAATGTACATTTACCTAAATATGAACGAACCCTAGAAGTTATTTTTTGCTTCGTGATATTTAAAGAACACCGACTTCTCTAAAAACATTCTTCTTTTTTAACCATCATTTTATGCCATGCATTAATTTGGTTTTCTTAGAAAAATACTATACTTCAAATGGAGAAAGTTGTAAAATTCTTTACAAAGCAGTTGAAGAAATACACCTCTTATTTAGTAAAACTAGTTTCAAGAACAAACTTGGAGAACCATAAATATTGCAAAACAGCAACGATGAGCAAAATGTTTACAATCTGAAATAATTTCTGTTTAAAATTAAACACATTAGGGGCACCTGGGTGGTTCAGTCAGTTAAGCATCTGACTGGCTCAGTTCATGAGTTAGAGCCCTGCAATTGGGCTCAGTGCTGATGCCTCAGAGCCTGAAGCCTGCTTCAGATTCTGTGTCTCCCTCTCTCTCTACCCCTCCCTTGCTCGTGCTCTCTCTCTCTCTCAAAAATAAACATATAAAAATTTCATTAGTACCTGAGCCGGTGCTTAAAAAAAAAACACACCATAAAAGTAACATTTAGGGTGCCCAAGAATTCCAGGTCAGTTATGTGTCCAACTTTGGCTCAGGTCATGATCTCTCTGTTCATGAGTTCGAGCCCTACATCGGGCTCTCTGCTGTCAACACAAAGCCTGCTTTGGATCCTCTGTCTCCCTCTCTCTTGGGCCGTACCTCCCCGCCCCCACCCCTCTCTCAAAAAAAAAAAAAAAAAAAAAATTAAAAAAAAATTACAACATTTACTGTTTCTTTTATGTAAACTAATGACAGGTTAAGACACATCTTCCTCACCTTTGTATGTGTTTTAACAGTTTGAAATAGACATTTTTTTCTGAATGTGCAGCTAAATCTCCCTCAGTTCTATTAAGACAACTTTCCAGATTTAAAAAAAAAAAAAAATACCTTTAACACTAGGAGCAAATCTCAGGGCTCACTTAAAAATAACCATTACATCTTAACATTTATACTGCATTTTGGTTAACAAGTGTTTTCATATAAATGATCTCCTCTTAATTCTCATAACCCTGAGAGTAAGCAGGGCATGTGTTAAATTATTTAACAATTTTATAGCAGATGATAAAAAAAAACTGTAACGTTTATATGCTACAGGAAGATAATGGAAGACCTGAGCCATATTTACGATGCTTAGCAGAAGAGGGGAAAGATTATTAGGTGGAAAGGTGAAAAAACAGAAAGCAAAAAGTTTGTGATGGATATAAACACTGTAGGAATGATGATAGGAAAGCTTAAAAAAGAAACACCATCTTGCTGCCAGTCCTGAAACTGCCATAAAATTAGTTTGAAAAAGGGAGAAGGTTCTGCCAACATGAGCTGCCAATAGTTCTTCGGTACCCAAAGAAAAAGTTAACCTTTCATCAGCTTCTTTAATAAACAAATTCGGATGAGAAGAAATTCAAAATGAAAGAAAAATAATATACACACATATATAATGTAACTACTAAAATGTTTTAAAATGTTCATAAAATAGAAACATTTATATAATAAAGATACAAAAGTGAACAGGTTTTATGACATAATATAAAATAAGCCATATAGGAAAAAAGACTAGAAGGAAACATTTGTAGATATTTGTAGATATTGTCCTTGGAAGGTTAGACTATGGGATATGTGTCTTATCATATATATATTCATTTTCTAAAAATGAGTGGAAAACATTTAATAAGTGTAATTTAAATATAAGTGTCATTCAGTTTTGGAATGTGCTTTTGTACTTACATCTTAATTATTGGTGGGGTGGGGGATATTAGTGGAGAAAACCTGGTCTGGGAGCCAGGAAACCACGGTTCTACGTTTGGCTTTGCACTAATTAGCTCTATGACTTTGGTCACATCATTTATCTTCACTGAGTCCTGGTTTCATCATTTGTAAAATGAAGAGCCTGGACAAGGTGACCTCTTCAAGCTCTAACAAGAATCTGACTGAGGAGGGAAGTAAGGGAATAATGGTGCAGTTATATTCTCTGTTCATATATTCAAATTGAAGAGGTATTACAATTTTAAGTACCAAGTGGTATAATAAACATTATCAAATAAAAACTATGAATTTACTAATCATCTTGATGGGAACCATAACAGATGCCTCCAGTCATTGAATGAACTGGGATTTTTCATAAAGTCCATCCATCTTACTCAGAAGTTCATAACATCAATATTACTTAAAGAATGGCCATCACATAATTAATATACTGAAACTTTTAAAATAATACCTTTAAAGATCTTAATTATTTCTTCACAAGGTATTTGAAAAACTCTTACTCCATTTAGAAGAATGCACACAGGCCTGAGTGTTGGTAAGACACAGACCAAACGGGAAGATTTAACCCCTTAGTTTAGGTCTTTAGAACAAATCTTAATGCAATTTTCCAGAGCTCTTAAAATACTGGCCCAGAATGTTTTCAGGCCACTGTGACTAACCGACAAGGTATTTAGTTCTCTGAGTCACCCTACAGGGAAGGCAAAAGACTATACCAAAACTGCTATGCCAGCTGCACATGAAATGCACTGCTACCCAGGGTTATCACATAGCTTCTCTCTGCTCTCGTCTCTTTATGTTCACTAAGTACCTGATTTTTAAAGCACAATATCTCTTCTATTAAGCACACTGACCTAACAGCCTCATAATTCACAACGGTTTATAGAAACTGTAGAAAACATATTAAGTTGGAAGCCCAAATTCTAGAATCAAAACCAGATTCTCATTTCATCAAACTTCTGTCTGGAGACTGCTGCTCCTTGTCCTCTCTCCCACGTGACCGTATAGTTAAGAGCTCACCTTGTCCTTGCAGGGCCTCTGGCAGTTCTGTGCTGCACACACAGCATTTTCGTCATCGGACTCTTCCGCTCCTGACCAGTCGTACTTTGAGGGGATGTCCAGCACTTTTTTCTCTCTCTTCTTCTCAGTAGTCTCTTTCACAAGGTCAACTTTGGCTGCAGCAGCCTTCTCCTTCTTCTTCTTTCTCTCTTCTTCTTTTGCCAGTTTCTTGGCCAGTTTATTCAGCTCCTTTGATTTTTCTGCACTTAGTTTTAATTTCTTCTTTTTAGGTTTATCCATTTTCTTTAACTCCTTGGACTTCTGTTTTCCTTCTCCAAAAAGCTGTTCTACTTTTTCTAGCTTCCGTTTCCGTTTCTTCTCTGAAGAGTCTTTTCCTTTTATTTTTAATGGCTTCTCTTCCATGCTGTCATCCTTCATCAATATAAAATTAGAAACAATTTTAAAGCAAGACATTTATTTTATTTTAAATAATAATCTTTCTTACTATTTTTTCATTCATTTTAAGTAGGCTCCACTTCTGGCACGAAGCCCAACGTGGAGCTTGAAATCACAACCCTAAGATCAAGACATCAGCTGAGATCAAGAGTAGGACACTTAACTGACTGAGCCACCCAGGTACCTCTAAAGCAAGACATTTATAAAGTTTTATTCTCTTATATGAAGTATCTTGAGTGGACAACCTTAACAAAAACAAAAACAAAAACAAAAACAACAGAAACAGAAAGTAGAACAGAGGTTACCGGGAGCTGAGGAGAGAGGATAATGGTATTTATTGTTTAATGTGTACAGAAGTTCTGTTTGGGATGATTATGGAAATTGACAGTGGCAACAGTTGCAGAACACTGTAAATGCAATTAACACAACTGAACTGTATACTTAGAAGGATTAAAATGGTAAATTTTATGTTGTGTACATTATATATAATAAATGTTCTAAAGATATTTAAAAGACATTTTAAGAAAGCAAATATAGGGGCACCTGGGTGGCTCAGTCAGTTAAGCGTTTGACTTCAGCTCAGGTCATGATCTCATAGTTTGTGAGTTCGAGCCCCGCATCAGGCTCTGTGCTGACAGCTCAAAGCCTGGAACCTGCTTCGGATTGTGTCTCCCTCTGCCCCTCCCCCTTTCACGCTCTGTCTCTGTCTCTCAAAAATAAATAAATGTTAAAAAAGAAAAAGAAAAAAAGAAAGAAAGAAAGAAAGAAAGCACCTGGGTGGCTCAGTCGGTTAAGCTTCCAACTTCAGCTCAGGTCATGATTTTATGGGTTCATGAGTTTGAGCCCCACATCAGGCTCTCTGCTGTCAGCGCAGAGCCCACTTCAGATACTCTGTTCACCCGCCTCTCTCTCTGCCCCTCCCCCACCTGCACAAACACATGCACATACTCTCTCTCAAAAATAAACAATAAAAAACGAGAAATCAAATGTTAATATTCAATGAAAATAATGGCAAGCCTATATAAAACATCTGACTTTAGATTACTAGGGAAAAAAGATCATTGTTAGCATATATTAGTATAGTGGGTAGCACCTCTGTTTAACTGAGATAAAACATACACATAAAGCTAAAAACACTAAATGTACACTGAATTATGTAACAAGTTTTTTGGTCTTCATTTACTACTACTACAGTTCTTTACTAACTCACAATTAATAAATTCCTGAAGGCCAAGAAGTTATCAAAATGGTTGGCAAAACATAAAACTATATCCATGACCTCATTACAACAGATACGTAGTAACTTTGGCAAGGGCTAGAACAAAAAACTCTTATTTTTTTTTCAATTTTCTAATATTTTTCTGATTTCTATTATATGCCAATGTAATAAACATTAAAAATTTTAACAGTAAAAGTATGTCTAGCAACAGGAAGTACAAGGAGGAGGTAAAGAAAGAAATACTGAAAACCATTAAGCTTGATAGTTACTTAAGAAACACCACTTGAGAACTCATTTTGTGACATATCTGAAACTGGAAAATCTTTGACAGGAACCTAAGAAACCGCAGAATGCAGAACACTGCATTATAAATGTCTGAAGTCTATCACATCTTGCACTATAAATTTACCCTCTCAATACTTTGTTTCCTTATGTGTAAAATAAAGAGGATCAGATGAGATAATGGATGAGAAGTAAACCCTTTGTATTTTGGAAAACACTATCTAAATGAGACTACCTTTGATCTGAATTCCAAACCAAAAACTATCATATGCCATGTATATCTGTATCAATTGTCAGTGACATCGTACCATTCCATTACATGGAAATAAGTAATGGAAAAGAATAATGAAAAGAACATTAGAAGTCCAGTGCCAGAGCTGGAATCCAGGTCTCTTTGTTTTTACTAAATGTGTGATCTAAGCAAGTTTCTACCTCTCTGACCCTTAATTTCTTCATGTGTAGAATGGGCTCAATACTTGCCCATCTATCCTTTCCTCTCCCCTTTAGGATTATGGTGAGGATCAAATGAGATCACAGATAGAAAAACATCATATAAACTGCAACCTGCTATGAGGTATTAATATATGAACACGGACTTTCTTGCCTACCCCAGTCTGCTTCTATTTAACCTTTCCCTTTTATTCTCCCCTCCTCCCCTATTTAACCCTTCCCATGCTTCTTTTTTCAACCACTATATTTGCTTCTGCCTTCTCTTTTGGGCCTTTCAACAGTGGGAGTCTGGGATAAGGAAGTTGTTCCTTCCTTAGAAGAACTGGTAGTTTTCAGTGCCCTCTTTTCTTTTTAGCAGAAATGGTGTTTACTTCCCCCCCCCCCAGATATTATATAAAATCTTAATAAAGAAAACCAAAAAGCAGAACTACTTTTGGCTTAATGGAAAAAAAGTAGGATAGCCACAGTACTACCCACTCAGCCATCCCCATCCTGGCATTTGTGGTACCTCCAAAGAACCAAGGCATTCTAAAAATGTTAAAGCCATGGTTTAAGTTTTAAATTCTTGCCTCCATGATATGCAGGAATCTGTCTTCAGAGGGTGGGTGTGTGGCCTGCAAAATCCGCCAAATGTGTTGAGTCTCATCCAGAGATACTTCTAGGAGATCCCCAACCATCATAAGTTCTTCCAGCTGGGCTTTAGCGCCGGGTGACAACTCCAACACTGGAGGTTCCAAACTCCGGGGCACCAAAGGGCTCTTCCGAGGTTGTTTCCTGGGGGTACTAGAACCTTTCCAATAAAACAAAAGACAAAGCAAAAAAATGAAAACTATCAACAAACTGTAATGTTTCCAAAGTAAATATTTAGGGGAATGGTTCCTCCTCCTCTAATACTTTAGACATCTGAATTCACTGCATCCATATTAAAGTTAGAATAAAATCTTCAAAAAATACAAACAAAAAAGATCTCGAATTCTAATGCCCCCTCTCAAAAATTAGCTAAGAATAAAAATCTGGATCCTTACTGATTCTTTACTCTGTGACTGAAGTGGAAAGGGAATGTGAAAGAATCTCTTAATCCATTCTCTCTCTGTTTTAGAGGGGACCAAAAGATTAGTAAGCACATGAGCTGCCCTATATAAATAAGGTGCTATCCTCCTAATAAACCAACGATAATATGCTGTTCCATAAAATCCTAAATGAAGAAACACCCTTCACTTCCCAGACGTGTGACCTAATGATATATTTTCAATGGGGGAAAGGAAAGTGGACATACAAGAGCAATTATCTACCAAAGAAAGGAAGAACTTTCTAACAAAGCTTTCCAAAACAAGAATGAATACTCTTAAAAAGCAACAAGTTCCTCAACAACTGGTAATGAACAAATAGAGGCCTATTAGAGATTTTATATTAATGAAAGATGGAACTAGAGAGCCTCTAAAGTTCTTCTTATTAGGACTCAATAATTCAGTGCAAGTTTTTTCAGGTTACCACCTAGTAATATAAAATGCAAACAGGGGCGTAGCTTTTCCTAACCAAAATTGCATTTTCAGGTTTTACTAGCATTTCATGGCTAGGATATACATTTAAGAGAGATTCACAGTCTTGATTAATACAATTTTTTTTCTCACTGGTTTCAGGCCTATCTTCTCCACATTGCTTTAAAGGTAATACCTTGAGAACAACTCTTAGAAGCAGAAGAATAAGCATGTTCTGCACAGAACGAAGGTGCTGTCCACATGTGAGTGACCACCTCTTCAGACTTAATGGGAATTTCTTCATCACAAAAAAGATTGGGTTCTAGACTACTGGAGGACTTCACACTGGCTGTGTCCTGAGGAAGAAACAAAGAGGGGTATTCAGAATTAGAACCACTTAACTTACCCTGTGACAAAGATCTAAATGCAGGCTTTGTAATATACTAAAAATACAATTGTAAAATTAGATACACAGTATTAAATAGGACAGAAAATGCCCACTGGGAGGAAAAACAGTAATGATTACAGTTTCAAGCCAAAAGGGAATGAGTAAAGCTCAAAAATAATCCACAGAGATAATAAACCTCAAGAAAATTACTATTAGGGGAGCCTGGGTGGCTCAATCAGGTAAGTATTCAACTTCGGCTCAGGTCATGATCTCACAGTTCATGGGTTCAATCCCACGTTGGGCCCTGTGCTGACAGCTCAGAGCCTGGAGCCTGCTTCGAATTCTGTTTCTCCCTCTCTCTCTGCCCCTCCCCTGCTCGTGCTCCATGTCTCTCTCTCAAACATAAAAAAAAA